ATACTAGTTTACATTCCACCAACAGTGTAGAAGGGTTCCTTTTCCCCTGCAGCCACACCGACATTTGTTATTATTTGATTTCTGGATGGTGGCCACTCTTTCTAGGGTAGGGTGGAATCTCAGCATTGTTTTAATTTGTTTTTCTCCAGTGGCTAATGATGTGCATTTTTTCATATATTTACTGGCCATGTGTAGTACTTCTTCTGAGAAGTATCTATTTCAGTTGCTCATCTTTTTACTTGGTCTTTTATTTTGGGTGGTCTAACTTTGCATGTTCTTCATATATTCTAGGTGTTAGTCTTTTGCCTAAGGAATAACTGGCAAAATTTTTCTTGAATTCTATAGGTTGTCTTTTTACTCAGGTGGTTGTTTCTTTTGCTGTGCAGAAGCTTTTGCTCTCTTAGAATAAAATCCAGGCTCAACCTGTCCTTCAAGGGACCATATGACCTGGTCTCTGCCTGTCCCTCTACCTTATCTCCTCCTGCTCCTTCTCTTGTTTCTTCCACTTTAGCCACCTAACCTTCAGCTGTAGCTCAAGCCTGCTAAACTCATGCCACATGTGGATTTATTTTTGCAGTGGGAGGAAGGGCATTGATCAGTGAATGTAAGTGTATGGTTCTGTTACCGCTTTCATTGTACCTCACTCGACAAACTGGCATTCTGATATGTACATCCTTCTCTCCCGGGTTTGGTTGGTGTGAATCTGCAGACAAGACTGTATTTCTCAGCCCACAGAGCTAGACTAATGATACAGACTAATGAGATTCAATCTGTGTATTCCACTAAAGTACTATGGCCCCTAACTGCCCTATACTTCAACTTTACTGCATTTAGTAAACCATCTTATATACGATAGAAATTTTGTTTTACTGTAATGGTACAACTGCCGGTCAGGCATTGTTTGTTGCATAGAGGTCTGAGGTGTACTGGCAGAGAGGCTGACCACTGTCACTGGCCCACATTCATGCCCTGTCCATGTCTTGAGATTTATCGTCACTCATCCATGCTTAGTTAAGTGGTTTTACAGAGAATTAACAGTTCTCACAAAACAGAAACAGGACTTAAAAAGATTTTTGCAAAGCACTGGAAGAGAGCTTTTTACTAAATTGGCAAGCAGAAGGGAAAAAGAAACAAGAAAGACAGAGTTGGCATTTTTCAGATTTCTGGTACAAGCTCCTCATCACGTTTTCTGAGGTGTAAAGATAATGATGGTCTAGCGAGATCTGACAAGCTCAGCCCAAGCGTGGAAAATCTGAAGGAGGACTATCTGAAATATGGATCTCCTTCCACTATTATTTATAATTAACTTTGACCCACATGTATATTTGCCTGAGATTGGCCAATAACTGAGTGCAACTATTACAATTAACCTGACAGTTAAACTAGTTCATTTCTTTTTTAAAAATTTCTATCTTGGGATTACTACATAATGTATTTTATGTATTTATATACTAACAATATTAACATAGGTATGATACAGATAATTTATGAGCATGTTCAAGGATTTTTAACAGTAACCTTAAACTGAGCGTGGTGGTGCACACTTGTAATCCCAGCTGCCTAGAAGGCAAAGGCAAGAGGATCTCCAGTTCCACCCCGCCCAACTTAGTGGCCCTGTTTCCAAATTAAAAAGTAAGAAGGGCTGGAGATGTAATTCACTGCTAAGGTTTTGGGCTCAACCCCCCGTACCACAAAAATAAAAATATATATAAAAGACTACCGGATTAAGAGATTCCATTGGAAGAGCTCTGACCTCGTTATCTTGTGATTGAAGGCTAACGTCATTTATTTAATAGTATCCTTTTATACACTCGAAAATGGATTATTAATAACTACTTATGTCTAGAGCACCAGGGTGTTGCGATTGTGGGGAGATTTGGGAGGCACCACCCAGGGGTGCTGTGGAGATGGACTGCACGGTACAGTCTCTGCCTCAGTCATTGCCAGCTACATCCTGGGGCGGGGCAGTTTGCCTGCTCAGTACCTCAGTTTCCTCAAAGGCAGCGAGAGGGTAATATCAGCACTTTACACACAGGGCCATTTTCGGGATTAAATGAGCTTATAAATACATGAATTTAGAGCAATGCCTCACATTTAATAAATACTTGTGAATGTTAACTAATGCTAACCTGGCTTTGGTGACATTTGAAAACACAAACAAAAATAAAACTAACCTTTAACCTCGCTCACTACCGCCCCTCCCAGGCAACAGCGATCAGTGCGCGGCACTCTGCAGTCCAGCTGAGTAAACTCGTGGAGGAAGGAAAAGACTTCCGGTGTTCCACTGCACAACAGTTTTACAAAATGGTGTTGAGAAAAATACACTGCGACAAAATGGAGCAGTTAGTGGTAAGTATAGGACAAAAATTAAATACCTTTCCAAATAATTAAATAATCCACTGTGGATGTTTTAAAAAGCAGGACATCTTAAATGTCTGCTCTGCAACAGAGACTGTAAACATTTCTGGTGAGATGGAATGGTTTGCCAAGAAAAGCAACTTACTCCCTGAAATGGCCAAGTATATTTTTCAAGTTCTGTCTTAATGTTTGGGAGAAGGAAGAGGTATTAACCTCCCAATATAATTTCCCAGTGTAATCCTATTTTCAGATTGTATAATGCTATGTCTTATTGAGGACTCTCTGTATGTCAAATGCTTTCCATCATTATTTCTCTTTTCATTCTCTTAAAAAAGGTTAAGCCGGGGATATAGCTCGGCGGCACAAGCACCTGCCTGGCAGACACAGGGTTCTGAGTTTGACTCCTGGTACCAAAAAAAATTTTCTTACTTCAGGAGACTGAGACAGGAGAATCACGATGAGTTCAAGGCCAGCCTGAGCTACATAGTGAGTTCAAGGCCAACTTGAATTATATAGTGAGACCCTGTCTTAAAAAAAAATGAAAAAAGAGAACTTAACATGAATATCTGAAAATATGCAGAAAAGATAAAATAATGAAAATCCGTACATACTTTCACTAATACGTCTTTATTTTCATTTTTCTGAATCATTTAAAAATATAATTATCAAAAATTTCACCTCAAATATATCCCTATGCGTGCTAAAAATACTCTTAAAAATACACACAATGCCATTATAATACCTAGTAATAATGGCCTAATAACTCAGTCTAAGATATTGGACCACAAATACCTTGATTCACAAATATCTTTTTTTTTTTTTTTGGAACCAAGAATCAAACTCAGGGCCTTGCGCTTGCCAGGCAGGTACTGTGCCGCTGAGCTCATCCCCAGCCCTCCCAAATATCATTTATCTGGTTTATTAAACTAGAATCCATAGAGGTCGCTGCATTTACTTTTGTCTCTTAAATTTCTTTTAAGCTGGAACGGCCCTGTCTGGCCTCTCCTCCTCCTCCTCTCCTGCCTGTCTTCCTTCCCTCCCTCTTCCTCCTCTCTCTCCTTTCTTCATCTCTCCCTCTCTTACACACTGACTTATTAAGAGACTGGGCCATGTGTTCTAGGTTTTTCTGATTGTTTCCTCTCCGGGTCATTTTACCCTACCATTTGAGTAGTCCCTGAGGCAGGAAGTCAGATTTAAAGCATCGTGTTGAGGTCCTAGATTTTTGGAAGCAGTATTTCAATAAGGTGCTGGAGTTTCATATTATACCGGGAAACAATGTCAGGTTGGTCCGCTCTGAATGATCAGATGGATCTTGTGGGATTCCGTAGGAGGCTTCAGGCTTCCCCCTTGCGGTTTGTATTTCCCCCTGACGACAAGCAGTGATCCCTGAGGGGTAATCTGGCACTCTGAACACCCTCTCACGTAAGGGTTTCATTGATGATCGGGCATGAACCAGTTACTTCATTAGGAACTACAAATTAGGTTTACACTGTTTAGCTAGCATACTTTTATAAAGAAAACTGCTTTCTCATCAACACGTATTATTTCTTAAACCACCACTTTTCTTAGTAAACGTTGGTGTATAATAATGACCACCAAGAATGTACGGCAAATAGGATTGCCCTCTCTCTCTCTCTCTCTCTCTCTCTCTGCCTTAATATGGCTTACTTTGGAGGACGGTGACTTTTTGGCGACAGGGTCTCCCTATGTATGGAGGCAGACTTCCAATTCTGGAGATCCTCCTGCCTCAGCTTCCAAAGTGCTACATTTTTAGGCATACGCCTCCTCCATGCCCGGCTAGGGAGGTGACTTCATGTTTTGCGTTTTCAACCATCTTGCAGTGTGTAGTGTTACTTTTAATGTGCACATTGTCTTAACTTTAAATTAATGTAGGCTTCCGAGTCTTGAGGATCTCTTCTCAGTAAGCTCGCTGACTTCTGGCCCAGGCTGTCCCAAGGGTCCTAATTCCTCATCCCCAGCTTCTGACCTGGCATCGGCCGTTTCTTAAAGGGCCCCGGTTCCTTTTAGCGTGGAGTAGCAGAGATCAACATCTGGGCATCAGGGATCGCCACAGCTTCGGGGCCTTGAGTTCATAGCTATATTTTTATTTTAGAATTAGCAATATAGACATTCTCACTCGTGCCCATAACTAACCCTCTGACCGCTGTTTAAAGGCACACAGAGCGCAGAGGTGCCGGGGTTGCGAGGCTGGCCGGGTTTTGGGCCGGTTGATGCCCAGCCCCAGGGTGCGGAAACGTGGGTTGAGCTGGTCTGTCCAGCCTTAGCCTGTAACCATAAAGGCAAGGCGGGGGACGACCGGATGATGAGAGAACCGCCAGCTTCGAGACAGGGGCGACAGTTCAAACCAAAGGTTCCGAGACGCAACCCCTCCAACACAGGAAAGTTCAACCTGGGCCCAGGGTCTTCACACAGCCAATCAGAGGGCGCGTAAAGCAGGAGGGCGGGACATCAGACCAGCAGGTCCAATGAGCAATCAGCCTCGGGTCGGCAGAGGTCAAAGCCTCAGGGGAGGGCGGAAAAGAGGTTTTGGAAATTGACCAATCAAAGGGGACTGCGGCCCGACAGCCAATCAGAAGAGCGTTTGCTCCGACGCGCCCGGCCTCTCCGGGACTTTTCTCTAGCCCGAGGCTTCGGCGACGCAGTCGCCGTGTCGGCGTGCTGCACAGCTGTTGTGTGGCAGTCGCTCTTCCGAGCGGTGCAAACTAGAGACGTGAAATGGCGAGCCCGGACTTCGAAGGCCATGCGGGCCAGGACGGGGACAGCTTCCTGTACTTTGCCTACGGCAGCAACCTACTGACGGAGAGGATCCGCCAACGAAACCCCTCGGCCGAGTTCCTCTGCGTGGCCCGCCTGCAGGTCGGTGTCCTCGCCCGGCCGGGACCCCCGGCGCAGCGCTGCCCCGAGAGTGCGTCCCGATGCCTGCGGTGCCCTGGCTTCCGCTCCTGGACCGTGTGTCCGGCCGCGGGGCCTCTCGCCCGACCCCAGCCCCGCGCCTTCCCACCGGCTGCGGCTCGCTGCACGGCCTGGCGCGGGTCCTGCCCTCGCACTTGGGGCAGCCTCCGGAAGGCCCGCGGTGGGTACTTCTGAGCAGCCTTCTGTTCCGTGCACGCCTTTGCTACAGGACTTGTCACCTGCTATTGTAGTAGTGTTTACCTGCCTTTCTCTCCTGATCAGAGATCCGGAAAGTTGGACCCTTGTCTTCATAGTGATCACTGTGCTTAGTTAGGTCAAATGGCTGAACTTTAACCGGGTTGGTAAATCATTACCCTTCGGGAAGTATGTTAATTTTGTACAGGTCCTTCTGGCGCTTGACGCAGGGGTGATCGCGTTCCTGCTGCTCCAGGCTCTAGGAGAGTGGTGCGGGCAACGTACCTTTTCATAGTAGTGAGCTAAATAAACATTGCATCTGCTAACCTCGTCAGAGTTCTTAGTTGCCAGCACCAGAAAGTGGCTGATTTAAGCAAAAAAGAAAAGAAAAAGTGTTGAAAGGAAAGGCTGTTGGAGCGTCCACAGAATGACCAGAAAGTCAGGAGTACAAAGGTGACAGAACCGGCAGGCGTAAGGGAGACGCGGCCACCCGAGTACAGCCAGCATCACACAGCCCAACCAGCCCCGGAGCCCTTGCTGAACTGGGCTTGGTGAGCGCGGGTGCAGTGTCTTGCATGGCCAACACCATCTTTCCTGAGCCCTGTCTGCTGCTGTACTGCATCCCCAAAGTTCCTGAAACTCCTGATGTGTCAGCCACCACCAGGTAGAGTCCGCTCCAGACCTGACTTGGAACATAGCTTCTAGTCCAAAGCCCCAGATGGCCATCTTGACTAGCGAAGTCTGACTCTGTAGCCATGGTCTGACGGCAAGCAAATCTGAGAGAACCAACTTCTGACCACTGGAAAGCTTCCAGAATGTGAGTCAGGCTCCCATACTCCCTTTCCCCAAACTCGGGGAATGTCCCAAGTGTGGGAAGGAAGTTCACATGCTTACAGTCAGAGCAGGGAGAAGAGATAGGAAACAAATGGTTATTAAGTTTGTGGCGTGGTCAGTCTTACAAAGGCGACATGTAAGGTGCAACAGAGTATAGCCAGAGGACCTGACCTAACTGGGACGCTCAGGAAAGCCCTCCTTGAAAGTGGGATGTTTCAGCTGAGACCTGAGCAACTGGTAGGTGCAAACAGACTGTGAGGAGGAGGTAGGTGCAAACAGACTGTGAGGAAAGCGCATGCAAAGGACCTGAGGAAAGAAGAAGCTGAATCTTCCAGCCTGTGTGACTGGAATGTCATAAGGGAGATGTGGTGTGAGGACCATAGAGGCCAAAAGTCAGATTTACGTCTTTGAAGGTGCAATCTTGTCTCTGTAGAAAATGGGTATCAAGGGGAACAGTAGACATGGGCAGCTCAGGAAGTTTTGGCAGCAGTTGGTGCCAAAGATAATGAATGGCTTCTTAGACTAGGGTGGTGGCCGGACAAGGCAGATGAACGGGAGAGATAACAAGGAGATAGCATTGTTAAAGCTCGAGTGACTGAATGTGAAAAGATATCAAGGATGAGTCAAGTGTTTGCATAAGGAAGACGCTGGTGATGTTTATAGAGAAGGGGAGAATCAAGTTTGGGAGGAAAGCAACCCTAAGTTCAGGTTAAACATACTAAAGTTGAGATGCTTGCTGGACAGCCAAGTAGACAATATCAGTGAGCACTGGTTAGGTAGAGTACTTGCTATGTGCCAGGCCTTGCTTTAGCCCTTTTGAAACTCAGAAGAGAGGTGGGCTGGGTTTAAAAATGGTGGAAGCATTAGATGGTATTTGAAGCCACGGAAGGAGATAAGATTGTCTCGGGTAAATTGCTGAGTGAATAGAGAGAAGAGCCTGGGGTGAGCCCTGAACTCCAACATTCAAAGATTGGGTACTGGAGGAGGAGTTGGCAACAGAAATTAAGATCCAGGAACAGCCTGAAAATGAGAAAAGAGGTCAGAGCAAGACTTACCATGTCCCAAGCAGCTGAAACTCGAGCAGGATAGGAAATGAGAATAGTCTGTTGACTTTAGCAGTAGACAACCAGTCCCTAGCGTGGGTTGTGACTTTTAATTGGATCTACTGATGTCCTGCCAGGTATGCCTGGTGCTAGAAGAACATCTAGCGTGCCCCTTAAAGTCCTGGTCACTAAAACGGACTTGCTTCCTGAAATATATGACAGGTTTTTCAGAAAGTATAGGACATAGGATAAAATATGAGCCTGGAAAGGAACTTAGAGTTATCATCCATTTCAAGGGAACAAAGCTACGGAAAGGTAGAAAGAGATGCTCCTACAGCAAACAAACTGAGTAAGGATTTTTAATCTTCCCTAGGGCTCTCATTTGATTCCCTTCTCTGAGGGAAGAAGCAAAACTAGAAAGGGCTTCATTGCTTATTAGCTGTGAAACCTTAGCCAAGTGGCTTAATCTTTCTACAGCACAGTTTTTTTTGTTGTTGAATTAGTATAATAAACTTGCTACAGGATGAAAGGGAGCTAGTCCACATAAAGCTAATAGCATAGTGATAGCAGCCAATAATTTTTAGTGTTAGCTACTCTCAGAGTTATTGTACATAAATTAGTATACTTCATGAATATTAGAGTAATGTTCATAAGTATTCAAATCACTCTCAAAAGCCAGTTTCCTTATGGAAAAAATGGTGATACATGCTGTGAGGATTATAGACACAAAAGGTTTGTTTCTAAAAAATATATATATATGTTCACGTATATAGACAAGGAAATATATAATTTTCAAAAATGAAAGCAGTTACAGTAAAATATTGGGTTTTTTTTCCTTGGGCTTTTAAAATGTTAGGATACCTGTACATACCAGTATATGTTTCGTTTTTAAAAGAACATATAAAAAATATATTCCTTGAGATCTAGGTCCTTTAAAGTTACCTATTTATCTTTCTTTTCCATAGCTTCTTACAAAGAATTCGAAGTTAATTAAATATTTTAATTGTATGTGGTTCAAAGTAAACCTTTTTTATTTTGAAGACAGAAATCTGGGTTCAAATGGATATTGATCATATCATTTTGATTTCTTTTGTAGGACTTTAAGCTTGACTTCGGCAATTTCCAAGGCAAAACAAGTCAAAGGTGGCATGGAGGTATAGCTACCATTTTTCAAAGTCCTGGAGATGAAGTGTGGGGCGTAGTATGGAAATTGAACAAAAGCAATTTAAATTCTCTGGATGAGTAGGTGGCTTCTAATTATAAGTTTAAAAAAACTAACTCAGAAAGTAAACTATGTAAGGATGTATGTATTTGTGTGTTGGTTTCGCAAAACCATGGACTACAGATATATTTATTATTTTTCAGAATCAACGCAGTGTACAGTAATGTTTGTTAAAAAGCTTAGAAGGGCTGCTATGAATGAGACTTAGGATGTTTGTGACATCTTATGTAAAAAGATAGCCGGCCTTACTTTTTGTTCTGTTAACCTTGTCTTTCATAAAAATTTGTTTCCTATTGTGAAAAGGTATGAAGATTTTTGTAATTGTTAGATATTTGTATTGATTTCAAAAGGACATTGATTCAGTTTTTAAAAACAATTCTTTAAAATTGCAGTTGAATCAGTCACTAAGTAATAATGTGTAAAAGCATTACCAACAGCACATTGTTGGTGACTAGAATTGTCAGAGTTGTGTAACAGAGGATTCCGTGCAAGAAAACAGGCAGCAAAGAGTGGGCCTTAAGAACCTGTTAATCGAACAGGTTTGATTCTGTACCTCACTTAAATGACATCGAGCCATCTTCTCTGCTTCTGTCTGGGTGGATGTCATCTCCATGTCAGAACAGTTAGTCCATTTTTTATAGCCAAAGAATTAACAGTGTTTAAGGGTTATGAAGTGGAATTAAGTACACTGAAGCTTGTTTCTAGACAAGATAAATGCAGATTGTTAAAGTATACGACACTGTTGTTGCCCAGTATCACAGGGACTGTTCAGGACCCCTGAGGATACCAGAACTGCTTAAGACCTCTGTGTATTGGTGTAGTATTTGCATACAACCTACATCCTTCTGTTTAATTTAAATCACCTGTATTACTTACAATATCTAACATAATGTTGTTACACTATATTTACTTTTTAGGCCTAATTTTTTTTTAATATCTTCAATCCAAGTTTGATTGACTCTGCAAAGGAGAAACCCGGGAGTCCAAAGGGCCAATTACAGTATTAAACCTGAGGCTTTCTAATTGAAAGGCTAAGCTTATTTTTAATATGGTGATACATACATGTTGTACTATATTCCAAACTACACAGAGAGCAAATACTTCCACATAGATACTTAAATTGTCAATCCTGTACCTAGTTTGATTAAAAGACCTCATCCAGTGAAGCAAGTTACCAGAGTCATGTTTGGTTAGAATTTGGCTGTTCTGATTTCAGGCAAGAAGGAGTTGAAAGTGGAGTATATGTCGTAATAGAAGTTAAAGTTTCAACGCAAGAAGGGAAACAATTAACTTGTCGAAGTTATCTGATGACAAATTATGAGAGTGCTCCACCATCACCACAGTATAAAAAGGTAACTGCTTTTTAATTTTCACTGATATAAACTAAATAAAACCTTGTATTTAAAAAGGTTGTGTGGCCAGGCATGAAGGCGCATGCCTGTAATCCCAGCACTATGGGAGGCTGAGGCAGGAGGATTGCAAGTTTGAGCCCAGCCTGGCAATGTAGCGACTTGGCGAGATCTTGTCTCAAAATAAATTTTAAAAAGGGGGCGTTGCTGTGGATATTGCTCAACATGAAGGACCCTGGTTCTATTTTAAAAATAATTTAAAAGGTTTTGATGTTTTTAATTCCACAGGAAAATCATTTAATTTGTGTGTGTGTGTGTGGTACTAAGGATTGAACCAGGACCTTTACACTGAGCTACATCCACAACTCTTTAAAAAAGTTTTTTTCATACATAAGGCCTCATTAAGTCACTAAATTGCATGGGGCAGCTCAAACTTGTAGTTCTCCTGCCTCGGCCTCCCTGCAGAAGATAAAAATGTGGGTTAGAGATCCCACCATCCCTTTCAAAACCCCAAGCTTAGATGCTTGTTGGCAGGCACAGACAGAACTGGCATGTACAGGGCACATGAGCCTCATCCAGAATGGTCTAGGAGAGGGCCTGGAGTAATAAGACTAGTACAGGTTTTGAGGTGCCATGGAGCACACTTACTGTTTCCTCCCGCACATCTACCGTGGGTTACAGCAAGAGCAAACAATGAATCTGAAACCAAAGCTGTTCCCACTCCCTGTCAGCTTTCAATTTTTTTGAAGAATGGTGTTTTTCTTTAAAGGTCATGCAAATTCTATACAATATGATACTTCATTTATTTATTTACTTTTTTTCAGGGGGTACTAGGAAGTGAACCCAGGGCCTTTGCACCGAGCTACATCCACAACCCTTCTTATTTTTTATTTTGAGACAGAGTCTTAAATCACTAAGCTGGGCTTGAATTTGCGGTCTTCTTGTTTCGGCCTCACGCAGTGCTTGGATTATAGGTGTGTGCCAAGACACCTGCCCAAATGCATTTTTATCTTCATATAAAAACATGTTTTTGAGCAAAAGTGATATTTCATGAATATACTTCAAGTGGATTTGAAAATTCCAGTGCTGTCATGCTCAGTGTGACAGGAATGGCTGCAACTAGGTTTTGTTCTACGAATTATCCTCTAGTATCTCCGACTTTCACAATGCAAATAAAGTTGCGGGTGTACTAAATTAAATTGTGTTCCTCACTAAAAGGATATTTGTTTTAACCATTTCTAGGTTATTTGCCTGGGTGCAGAAGAAAATGGTTTACCACAGGAGTATCAAGAGAAGTTACAAGCAATAGAACCAAATGACTATGAAGGAAAGCTCTCAGAAGAAATGGAAGAAGTTCTCATCAGGGGAAAACAAAAACTCTATAGAACATAACAGAATATGCCTGAGGATATTCTCTCTCTGTGCTAATATGCAATATTCTTAACATTTGAGAACAGGGATTTGGGATATCTCCATCTTTATCCTACTTTCAGCAGTACTCTGAAGAGGAATTTCACTTGGATGATCCATACTTTCAGACCATAAAAAGAAGCTGGGTTAGGAGGTAGCCATCTAATGGGGGGGCTGTAAGGTGCTGGAATGCATGACAAATGGATGTGGCTTCACCTTCTGTGGACACAAGCTACTTTATTTATTTTCTTGCTTTACTTTTTCTTTTGAGTTGATCTCAAGGATCTTCTTACTCTGATGAAGGATAGGTTTGCGGCAGGCTTGATGATGGTACTGGTGAGTTGCTCTGCTGTGGGTTTTGATTGTAATCCACTTAGCAAGCAAGCGGCTGAGACAGTTCAAAATAAAATTTTGAAAGTTGGGAAGATTGTTCTTAGAGTAATAAATGTATTTATAATTTAACCTGTTTCTCCTACTAAAATACTCCATTTCCATATGTTGTTTAACTCAAATTACCTCAGGACTGGAGCAGATCTTGGCCATGTGGAGTCTGTAATAAGGAAGCATTGTGCACTCCGGAGCCAGACAGCATAGGATCAGCGTTCAGTCCCACAACTTTCTGAGACTTCAGGTTACTTCAGTCTCTCTGCCTCCATTTCCTCTTGTGCAGTAAAGATCATCAAAACACTATATCTTAGGATTGTTTTGAGGATTAAACGAGTCTATATGTATATAGTAAGCTTAGGACAGAGCCTGACACTTCAGAACCATTAGCAGTCATTATTGTTCTTATTTGAAGAATTTAGTTTGTACAGGGCCATCTTTGGAATAGGCTTGTAAAATATAAGAGCCAAGATTTTGAAGGGAAGAATGTTTTAGGGCAGATACAGTTTAATTCTTGGCTTATCAGGAAACTGACCATCTAAACTTTATTTGATCATTGTTTCTCAGCCTTTTGGCTAAGATCAAGTGTAAAATTTATTTGATGAATAAACAGAGGAAAAGAAGTCAAGAAGAATGTAGTCCTGGTTTTCAGAAAATCTCTCCTGTGGCATGCGGTCAGCTGTACCTTCTAAGCTGGCATGAGGGCAGACTGGTCACAGGAGCATAAAAGAACAATGAGTTTTGTTTCTTGGGAGAAGGTCCCCAAAGGGCTTTCAGGCTACACCGATGTTCAGTTGTGAGGCTGAGCTGTAGACCACAGGGTAGACTATGTATCATAGTTGTCACACCTCTTATTTTCCACTGTATGCTCTAGTAATCTAGTTTTTTCCTCGTTTTTAACTCTTCCCAAGAATACCGAAGTCCATCAGTAATGCAGAACCCAGTAATTGTAATGTGAGCAAGGCTTATTTTTGTGGTAGGTACCAAGAATTGAATATTATTCTAATAATCTCACCTAAACTGACAACTTTCATTAAGGAATTCAGAATGCTAACCGTAGCACTGTGATGTGTGGCTTTTTAACAGAAATCTGGGAATCATCAGGCATACTGATTTTCCTAGTTTTCAGACTCATACTGTAAAGGCCATAGGTAAAAACTCTACCAGCTCCCAAATCACAGTACACCCAGGTTCATAGTCAATCTTCTGAAAAATACAGAATTAATTAATTAATTTTGGTACTTAGTGTTGAGCTCGGGGCCTTACACACACTCAGTAAGCGCTCTACCACAGAGCTTTATCATCAGCACCCCCCTTTTTTTAGCTTTTTGCGGGGGTTTGCTAAGTTGCCCTGGCTGGCCTCCAATTTGTGATCTTCCTGCCTCAACCTCCCACATGACTGGGATTACAGGTGCATGCCACTTCACCTAACTAGAAAAATCTTGGAAATTGTGAGAACTGACACCTGTAGAAAAAAACTAATTTAAATGACATCAAGTTTCTCATCAGAAACCATAGAGCCCGGAAAGAAGTATATTTTTTAAGGACATTCAAACCAGAATCCAAAAGAATAACCTTTGAGGATGAAGTGGAAACCAAGACTTGTCAAGTGAAGGAAAGTAAGAAAATTTATCACAGCACCCCTACCTCAGAGAAAAGTGGGAGGGAAGTTTCTAAATGAAATGATAGAAGAAGGAAGCTTAGTACATTGAAAGAAAAAGTATGGTGAGGAAAACTAGATAAATACAGTAGACTTCCCTTGAGTTTTCTGAATTACAGTTGGTAGTTAAAGCAAAATTTGTAACACTAGGTGCTATGGCTCTGAATATATGTAGTGGAAATATTTTAAACAATTAGGAAAGGGGGAGAGAAGAGAGGCAAAGTTTCTTCTACACTTCATTTAAACTGGTAAAAGAACATCAGTTGTGAAGGTATGTAGATAATATAGTGGGAGCAACCACTGAAAGTGTATATAAAGAAATTTACTTAAAAACACTACAGATAAAATTTCCAAAAGGTGTTTACATAACCCACAGAAAGGGAAAGAAAACAGGAGAGAAGAACAAAAAGCAAAACAGCAGACTTCAATCCCAACTTATAAATAATTACATTAAATGTAAGTGATCTAAATACAGCATTTAAAGGAGAGAATTAAGGGCCCAACATTAAGCTATCTGCAAGAAACTTACTCCAATTATAATAACATGTTTGAAAATAGTTTCTGTGCTGTTTGACGAAAGTAATAACAAGCAGTTTAGGTTGTAATATAAGTAATACAAAATCTGATGGAAAGAGACACAGATGCAAATCAAGGGAAAGAATGAGTGGCTATATTAATACCAGATAAAGTAGATGTGAGAGCAAAGGACATAACCAGAGACAGGAGCATGTGATAAGCTTTACCCAGTTCATTTTTTGAACCTACTATTACCCTGATACACCAGACGGGGAAAATACAAAAACAAAACAGCAAAGAAATAAACTTAACAGTATCATTCATGAATATAAATGCAAAAACCATTTACAGAGTATTAACACATAGAATTCAGCGATACCTAAGAATTGCACACCAAGTGGAACTTGTTCTAGAGATGCTGTGCTGACTCAAAATCTACCCATAGTTTGAAAAGCCATCAGGGTAAGCTGCTATGTTAACAGAAAAAAGAAAAATAATATGTCAGTTGGTGCAGTAAAAGCATCAAAAAATTTCCCAGAAAAGTAAGAAAAGAAAACATTTAAGAACTAGTCAGAAAGCACCTATAGAACGCCTAGAGCTAACATTACACTTACTAGTAAAGACTAAGTGCTTTCTCCCTGCAATTGGGAACAAGGCAAGGAAGTCAGCTCTCACCACTCTTAACACAAAGTGAAAGTTCCAGCCAGTGCAGCAAGAGGGGAAAGGAAATAAAGTCACACAAATTAAAATGGAATAACTGGAACCATGCCTGTTTACAGATTGATGACATGATTGTCTATGTAAAAAAAATCCCAATCTATTTTTTAAAAAAATCCCTAGATCAAGGGCCAGGGATATAGCTCAGCAGTACAGTTCCTGCCTGGCAAGAATGAGGCCCTGAGTTCGATTTCTGGTACCAAAGCAAACAAACAAAAAAATCCCTAGATCCAATAAGTGCATCTGGGTCATAGGATACAAAATAAACATACAAAAATCAATTCTATTCCTGTATACTAGCAATGAACATATGACACTGATATTAAAAATACAATACCATTTACAATTTTAAGTTAAATTTTAAAATTCAGGTTAAATAAACATACCTGAGCATTTTAAAGAGCAGTTTACTACATTCAAAACGTACAACCACCGCCTTTATGTACTGTTCCCAAACCACTTTCATCACACCCAAAGTAAACTACATACCCACTAACGGTTATTTCCCATTCCTCCCTCCTCTCAGCCCCTGCCAACTACCAATCTGCTCTCTGTGTATATGGATTCAGTTATTCTATATATTTCATAAAACTTGAATTATGCAAGGTGCAACCTTTTGTACGACTTCTTTCGTTTAGTATAATGTCTCCAGAGTTCATTCACACTGAGGCGTGCATCAGTACTTCATTCCTACTTACAGCTGAATAACTTGCAGTTGTGTGGGAAACCACAATTTGTCTATCCCTTCATTCATTGAGGAATATTTAGACTTTTTTACCTGTTGTCTACATGAGTAGTGCTGCTACAAACATTCATGTACATATATTTGTTTGAGTACCTCTTTTCATTTGGGGCATGTATCCCTAGGCGCGGAATTGCTAGATCATATTGCAATTCTACATTTAATTTTTTGAGTAACCACCAAACTTTCTCACGTATACAGAACCATTTTGCATTTGTACCAGCAATGTATACAATTTTTTTTAGAAACAAAGTGTAAATCTTAGAAAACGTGAGGACTTCTTTACTGAAAACTTAAAAATACTGGTGAAAAAAAATCACAGTTGATCTGAGTAAAAGGAAAGACAAATGGTAATGTTTGTAACTGAAAAACTCAACATCATAAAGATGTCAACATTCCCAAACTCACATACAGATTTAACAAAATTTCTATCGCGTTTACAGCGTGATAATTTTCCCAAAATTTGCATGGAAAGTCGAGGGAAGTAGAATAAGTAACATAATTGTGAAAAAGAAGAACAAAATGAGAAGACCCAATCTACTGAATTCACAACTGTATGTTACTACAAAGGAGTAGAAACATAAATGAATGGAACAGAATGGAAAATCATTTTAAAAAAGAAACAAACACCCACACAAATAAACCAAGCTGATTTTTGGCAAAGATAATTTAATGGAGGAGAGAGAGCCTTGCCAACAAATAGTGCTGAATTAGCAATTTGACACTCAGGTCAAGCGTGGCAGGTGTCAGTAACAGAGAAAAAATTAACCTTGGCCTAAGACTTCAGTGGTGGAGAACCTGTGGCACCCATGCTGCATGGGGCACATAGAGCCCTCTCAGTACATGAGCTAAGTTGCTCCAGCAGCTGAGGATTGGGTAACAGTTGTTTTTTCTAAATTAAAACTTCAGTATTCAAGTTTAATTGCAGTGTTGGCACTCTGTGATAAGTAAGTGGGTTTGGGATTGCAGTTTGGGCCCTTGGTCCTAAAAGGTTCACCATCACTGGCCTAAGTCTTAAGCCTTATGCAAAAATTAAAGTGGATGTAAATGTCTGACATAAACAGTAAAACTTTCTTTGTAAAACCCAGCAGTTGCGCTCTTGGGCATGTATCCAATGGAAATGAAAACATGTTTACACGTAAACTTGAGTATGAACATCTATAGCATCTTACTTATAACAGCCCCAAACTGGAAATAACCTTGGTGTCCTCAATCAGCTGTTTAAACAAGCTGGGGGAATCCATATCATGGAATACTGGTTGGCCATAAGAAGGAAAGAAATAGGCCGGGGTATAGTCCAGTGGCAGAGCACTTACCCAGCAGGCATGAGGCCTTAAGTTGGATCACCCTAGCACTACAAAAAACAGAACACTAAAAAAACTACTGATACACCCAATAATGTGCATGGATTTCCAGAGAACTATGCTGAGTGAAAAAGAAAATCTATCCCAAAATGTTAATAGTGTATTATTCCGTGTTTCTAAGATTTTTGTTGTTTGTTTGTTTGTTTGTTTGTTTGGAGACAGTATCTCACCAAGTCACTACTTGCCCAGGTTGAGCTTGAACTTGCGATCCTCTTGTCTCAGCCCTTCAGAGTGCTGGGATTACAGGCAAGCACCTCCATGCCCAGGTATATTTAACACTCTTGAATGAATAAAATTATAGAAATGGATAGCAGGTGAGTGGTCCCTAGAGGTAAAGGAGAGGGTGAGGTGATATACAGGGCAATGTGGGAGATCACTGTACTAGTGGAAATGTTCTGTTTTTTTGGCATTAACTTCCATGTCCTGGTTGTAATATCGTACAATAGCCTCGCAAGATGTTACCTTGGGGGAAATTGTGTTAAGGATACATGAATCTCTGCATTATTTATCCCAACTACATGGGAATTTACAATTATCTCAAGATAAAACATTGTAAAACAAATTTTTTTAAAGTTTTAAAAATGTAAATGATAGACAGCAAAGAACAGGAGACTATTCTGTAGGCACAGTGGGAGTTGAGGGCAGCTCAGTGAGACAGCATGTGCCCAGCATGCACGAGGCCCTGGTTTCCATCCTCAGCACCCGAAAAAAAACTGAACAGGAACACTAGAAATAGAACTGAGAAAGATCTTGGGAAATAATTATTATTAAAATTAAGATTCTAGATGGTGTGTTTGTTTCTTATTGCTACTATAAAGAGTTATCACAGATTTAGTATCTTAATATTATCTTGTGGTTTTGGACGTCACAGTTCCAAAATAAACTGAGCTAAACACCAAGTGCTGGCATTTGAAACCCTGGCAGCCCTGTGTCTTTATCTTCAAGCCCGCAGTGGGGGCCGAGTCCCTTTCAGATTGCCCTGTCTCTGATTCCGTAAAGGACGCTGTGGTGGCGCTGGGCCCTCGTGGGTAACCCAGGATGCTTGCCCCACCGCCAGGCCAGCTGCTAGCAGCCTACTCCACGCGCACTTTAGCTCCCCTCTGTGAGTTCACCCACTGCAGGACTAGGACGCGGATAGCATGACGGGGCGAGGTCCCTGTCCTGCCTGCCACATATAGATTTTTTTAAAAAATAGACTCAGACGTCTACAAAATAATTATTGAATCAAAAGAACTGAAATTACTTAGAAGGTAGGAAAAGAAACAAGTTGTAGAAAATATAAATGACAAGTTAAAAGACACAAAGGACACAGAATCCTAGAAGAAAAATTGTGTCATTTTTTTCTAGCGGGGCTTCATATAAAGATAAACTGGAGGAATTAGAAGCAATTCGTGTGTTCGCAACTTTGCACACTGCATCACATTGTTTTTGCAGTTTCGCTTTTGAATTAGGAACACGCTTGCCTTTTCTCAGAACACAGCCCTTGACGGGAATTTTAATATGAGTGTATATATGGTCACGTGATGTAATACTCTTCTTCAGTTTGAATAAATGACAGGTTTCTATAGCATGGATAACATTTAAGAATATTAATCAGGGTAATTTACTAGCATGTCAAAAACTCGCTTACAAGTCGTTACAGCAAAGAAAATGAATGCAAACCGTGCCCTACTAAGAACAGATCTAAAACAAGCCAGGAAGAAGCACTTAGATGTTTTAAAGTATAAATTTAAGTATAGGCTCGGTTGTCAAGTTTGGTTACTTTTAGCGAGTTTTCATCGGGAGCGCCTGTCCCAACCTAAGCGGGCGGGTCAAGTCCTGGCGCTGGCCGCGGAAGCCGGCCGGGTGGCACCGGGAGGGGGCGGGCCTTGCCCCGCGCGGCCGCGGCCGAGCTGGCGCT